AAAAAAAAAAAAAAAAAGAAAGAAAGAAAAGGAAAAGAAAAGAAATTACACTTGTGTTGTGGCTACCAAGAAATGGTTAGTCGAGTGACTTGAAAATTTCAAGCAAATAACTGCTTAGTAAAATGTGAGTTCATGCTGTAAAACACATCCTATGAATTGCACTATTTGTCTCTCAGTTATAGAAATCGGTTTCATTTTCTAACATGCTTAGTTGTTATTGGATCTTTATAGCCGTATCATCTGTACTTTTTGTGGTTTAAAGATTTAAATTTGTTATGGAAACAGGCTTTTCAGTTGACCAATGATTAGCTAATTTCTGATAGCACAAAAGGAAATATATTGCCCCAAGCCTGCTGTTTTCATTTCCTCATGGGGAAAAGCAGCACAGTATAGAAAAAAGGCAGACACAACATACTGAACCTCTGTCACTATGGGGAACTGGGCTGTCAACGAGGGGCTCTCCATCTTTGTCATTGTAAGTACCAACAAGAGATTAATTATGAATGCTCTGACATGTTTGTGTTCTCTTGGAAGCTAAAATAGAACAATGTTGTTTTGTTTCTTTGAGATAAATTGATTGAGTGTGGGAACAAATGTCCATCCTTAGAAGTACTGAGTTCATTCTCCAAATTCTTTAGTAGAAAGAATGTATTTTGGGTGTTCATTTCTCCTGGGTTATTTCTGAGTTCTTAGGAGTACTGTTTGCCAGCATTTCAGAGAGTGTAAAAGAGAGTTCCTGCTAATGATCCTTCATTCTTAGTGTTTATTCATTACTCAGAGGCAAATGTTCCTACTTTCTGTGTTTAAACTACTTAAAAATGGCCAATGGAAATTTTGTACCATTTTTGCAATAGAAGAAACTGGCACATGTATGAGAAATTGGCCTTTCCTTCAGTAATGGTACTGAAACCAAAGTTCTCAAATTTCTTTTTAAAAATAAGTACCTTCTTTTTCTCCTGTGGTCTAAACTTGAGTTATTTATAAAGTTAACTAAAATTCAAGAGAAAATAATTGAAATAAATTGTCTATACTCACACATATATAGCGTGTATATATAATAAACTACATATATATATATATATATATATATATATATCTGTATAAACTCTTTGGAGACACAATTTTTGTAAGTAGAGATATGACTAATTTCCAAGTAAATGTTGATTTCTTTCTTTTCTTTTTCTTTTTTTACAAAGTCTACAACTATATCTTAGATGGTGGTCTCAGCAAAGCAGTAATGGACAAATTGGGTAGAAAGAAATGTGATTTCTAAATTTCCTTTTTGAATAGCTGATAGAAGCATGATGTTTAAAAAGGAACACTTATGAATGGAACTTTTGTTAAGAATTTATTATTTTTTTTTAATTTTTTATTTTTTTTATTGGTTGTTCACAACATTACAAAGCTCTTGACATATCATATTTCATACATTAGATTGAAGTGGGTTATGAACTCCCAATTTTACCCCAAATGCAGATTGCAGAATCACGTCGGTTACACATCCACAATTTTACATAATGCCCTATTAGTAATTGTTGTATTCTGCTACCTTTCCTATCCCCTACTATCCCCCCTCCCCTCCCCTCCCATCTTCTCTCTCTACCCCATCTACTGTAATTCATTACTCTCCTTGTTTATTTTCCCATTCCCCTCACAACCTCTTTTGTTAAGAATTTATCACAAAATCTATGGACTCTGAATTTTAGAGGTACAAAAAAATTAGAGGCACAAATAAAATATAGCAACAAATATTTTGTTATTAAGACTATGTTTTGTAGCACATGTGTGTGTTTCTTTAACTTGTGGATAAATACTTGTAGACAGGTGCAACAAATAAATCCTTGGCCCAGTTTAGCGGTGCATACCTGTAATCGCAGCAGCTTGAGAAGCTGAGACAGGAGGACCCCCAAGTTCAAAGCCAGCCTCAGCAACTTATCGAGGCCCTAAGCAACTTAGGAAGACGCTGTCTCAAAATAAAAAAAAATAAAGAGGACTTGAGATGTGGTTCAGTGGTGAAGCACCCCAGGGTTCCAATCCCTGGTACCAAAAAAAAAAACCCAAAAAAAACCAAAACTCATCTTTTGCAATCCAGAACTCATTGTTCAGGGTGAGCTTTGGTACATATAAAAAGAAATATTGTAAAACCCAAGACAGCTTAAAGTGACAAGGGTATTGCTAATCATTAAGGTTGGTTCCAAGATTAAGAGTTGATAATAAAAAAGCATAGGTCATGAGAGAAATCTCAGGTATATCATTACTCCAATTTTCATGTTGTGACATATAAAGATAGCTTTAGAAATTATATTTTATGTCAAACCAACATTTTAATACAATATCGAACTCTGCAGATTTGAAACTGTAAACCTACTTTTTATCACCATTTTAAGAGCAGGGTACTCTTAGAGAAAACAAGTTGAAATTGTACTTTTAGCTTTCTCTATAATTTTCCCCAGGAAGTGACCGCCTTTGAAATTATGTGCTCATGTACTTGAAAGTGAAGGCACTGTTTAGAAAGCCAGAGTTGGGAAGAATGACAAAGTCAGGAAATGGAAAAGTTGCTTTTGCACCTTCTTCTTTGTAAAGTAAGATTGTTCTCAAGCATCTATGGACACTTAGTAGTCAATATTAAGAATAAATAGTTTTTTTTTTCCCCTGTGGTACTGGGGATTGTACCCAGGGGTGTTCTACCACTGAGCCATGTCCCCAGTCCTTTTTAAAAATTTTTAATTTAATTTAATTAATTTATTTTTTGGTGATTAAACCCAGGGGTACTCTACCACTGAGCCACTTCTCCAGCCATTTTTATTTTTATTTTTTTTTTAACTTTGAGACACAGTCTTACTAATGCCCAAGCTGGCCTTAAACTTAAGATCTTCCTGTCTCAGCCTCCTGAGTCACTGGGATTACAAGTGTGCACCACCTGGCTAATAACTAGTAATTTAATAGTTAAGAAAAGATCATGATGGAGCTGAAGGTAGATAACTAGGTAGTGTCACCAACTAATAAACTCAATTTGGGGGACGAAAAAATAGGTCACAAACTAGAAAGTTTTCTTTGCTTTTAAATCTCATGTCTCTTACCCCTTGCTCATGATCTCTATTTCCTCCTTCAAAAGTTAAGTAAAACTTACCAAGTAGAATAGAAGTCTTGGCATCTTAGCTGATGAGACTCCTGCTAGTTGGGGTACAATGCAGTGTGGTGCAGAGAGGTGACTGGCACCTGTGAGAGCAGAACACAATGTCCTACTGATAGGGGGATGGCAACAGTAACGTATTTCCTTCCATTGTTATTTGCCAGTCAACCCCTGCTATCTATCTAAGAAGAAAAGAGGTGGGCCTGGTGCAGTGGTGCATACCTGTAATCTCAGTGGCTAGAGAGGCTGAGGCAGGAGGATCTCGAGTTCAAAGCCAGCCTCAGCAATGGCGAGGCCCTAAGCAACTCAGTGAGACCCTGTCTCTAAATAAAATACAAAATAGGGCTGGGGATGTGGCTCAGTGGTCGAGTGCCCCTGAATTCAATTCCCAGTAACTCCCCCATAAAAAAGAAGAAGAAGAAAAGAAGTGGAAAAAAGAAGGGAGGACAGATGGATAATTTGGCATACTATCCAAGTAGTAAAACAATCATGGGGAACAATGTAGGGTGCAAAGGTTAATTACAGAAAAGGGTAACGATGCTCTTATGGGCTTTAAGCTGGTTTCCCCTAGCTTTGTAACCATCTTTCTCAAATGCTGGACTTGGGGAAGTCCTGACCTTCGTCTGACTCTGATCTTTTGTGGAATCTACCTATTGAGACAGGAGAAATTCACGTGACTTTTTCTGTTTGTGCAGCTGGTGTGGCTGGGGATGAACGTCTTCCTCTTTGTCTGGTACTACAGGGTTTATGACAATGGAGAAAAGTACTATTACACTCGAAAACTTCTTGGGGTGAGTATAATATCTGTCTTGTGCAATATTGACCAGTTCACATTTCTAGTCAGACATTCTTATTTTTATTTCCTTTAATGTTTAAAAATATATATATTCTGACCAATCCAAACATCACCATCAGCCTCACTCCTCCATTGGAACTTCTTGGGCAAGAGTCTCTTAATGCTTTTGTCAGTGTGACAAATGAGGATGTGGTAAAGGGTCCCAGCAGCAGCCTTTCCCTCCCAAGAACCATGGTACCATGGGAGGCCAGGTTGAAGCTATCTATCTAGGGATGATGCATGTAAGACAAGTGAGATTTTCCATATTTTCCAAGTCATCTGGTTCCTACCACTTTTGTGTATAGAGAATCCTGCTCCTGGTGACATGTGATGAAATGGCCTTCAGAAAAATCAGCCTCTGTCTACAACAGGAAACTTTGAGGAACTTGCTTTTGTGCCCCATCTCTTCAGTAGGCCAGCGAGTGAGGCCCTTGAGTTTCCTTGGGTCTTTTAGAAAGCTCAGTTTCCTTGAACTGTCCGACCTCTTTATCAAGAATGAAAGTAATTATTATTGTGCCTGCTCCCAGAACACATCATTTGTTATTTAATGCTGAAACTATCAATTAATTAATTAGTATTCAGTATATTATAAATCACATGTATAAATACTTATAAAACACAATTTGCTACATTATTATAATTGCTTTAAACTAATTCACATTGATGCTTTCTTCCTCCAAAATATGAAACAACTTCTTTTTTTGTGTGTGTGGGGGAAAGTATTGAGGATTGAACCTAGGGGCACTCTACCATTGAACAACATCCCCAGTCAGTTACTTAGTACTTGGTTTTGAACCCAGTGATGCTTAAACACTGAGCCACTTTTTTGTTTTTTATTTTGAGATAGGGTCTGGCTGAGTTGCTTAGGGCCTAAGTTTCTGAGGCTGGCTTTGAACTTGTGATCCTCCTACCTCAGCCTCCCAGATCTGCTGGGATTACAGGTGTGTGCCACCGTGCCTGGCTATTTGTTTAGTTTTGAGACAGAATCTTGCTAAATTGCCCGGGCTGGCCTAGAACTTGTGATCCTTCTGCTCAACCTCCCAAGTAGTTGAAATTACTAACCTGTGCCACTGTGCCTGGTTGTAACTTCTTTAAACATTATAAAGCTAATGATTATGCTGAAACATCATACCAAAGCAACTTCAGTTATTGTTGAAATCTAAGTGCTATGAAAGTCCTGTTTAAAAAATTTAAAAGGTTCAGTTTTATACCTGGTGTGGTGGTGCACATCTGTAATCCCAGCAACTTGGGAGGCTAAAACAGGAGGATGGCAAGTTCAAGGCCAGCCTCAACAATTTAACGAGGCCCTAAGCAAGTTAGCAAGAGGTTGTCTCAAAATAAAAATAAAAAGGGCTGGTGATGTGGCTTAATGACTAAGAGCCTCTGGGTTCAATCCCTGGTACCAAAAAAAAAAAAAAAAAAGCATTGTAAAATGTAAAAGGTGCAATCTGGGAGGTGAATAAACAAGTATTCAGAGTAAATTTTGACCACTTTATTCTTTTTCATAATAAAACGTTGGGTTGGGTAAGGGACCAGTTTAAGATTAAAACAAAGGGTCCTTGCAGGCCCTAAAAGAAAATCCTTTGGTCTGAAGGACCTTCCTTTCCAGATCTCTTGGAGCTCTGGTGTGGCGTCATGCGGGGAATCCTGGGGAAGTGGGGGTGGGGCGTCCTGTGCTCCTAGGAGTCACTCTGCTCTCTTCTGCCTCTTCCAGTCGGCTTTGGCCTTGGCCAGGGCCCCTGCAGCCTGCCTGAATTTCAACTGCATGCTGATCCTGCTGCCTGTCTGCAGAAATCTGCTCTCCTTCCTCAGGGGTTCCAGTGCGGTAAGAGCAAACACTCTATTGAGCTCCTGGAATTTTCAAAGCCATCATGCAAAATGCCCTTTCTTAGGAACAGCAAACCACTGGTCTGTGAGGCTTCCAGGTTCTATAGAATATTCATGAGCCAATCCATGTCCATTTTTTGTTTTTTGATTTGTTTTGTTTTCCTATGCTATTTGTGGATGGAAGTCCCTAAGGCAACCATTTCACCCTGAAAAGAGATTTTTAAAAAGCAATCAACTAAACTGTATCTCAACAACAGCAATGAAGTAAGCACACGTGTGTATGTGCACACACATACACACATACATATATACACATATACATATAATATGTATATAAATACATATAATATGTATGTATATATAAATAGGGCTTTATGATGCTGTCATGTGATATTTGGGAAATAATCTTTCAGTGTCATTCCAAAAAATTTAAGTCAGAGAAAATAAATACAATGAATTTATCATCTGTACATATACTCAAAAAGTATGTTACAAAGCACAATTTGATTGGTTATAAATAACGAATTATGAGGAGTCGGGTGCAGTGGTGCATGCCTGTAATCTTGGTGACTCAGGAGGCTGAGGCAGGAGGATCACAAATTCAAAGTCAGCCCCAGCAATGCAGGCCCTCAGCAATTTAGGGAGACCCTGTTTCAAAATAAAAAGTTAAAAGGGCTGGGATGTGTGTCAGTGGTAGAGCACCCTGTGTTCAATCCCAAGTACCAAACCAAATCAAACAAAAGAATCTACAGGGACCAGGCAAAAGAATTGCCTGTAATCCCAGCAATTCTGGAGACTGAGTCAGGAGGATCACGAGTTCAGTGAGTCTCAGCTACTTAGTGAAGCCTGTCTCAAAATAAAAAATAAAAAAGAAAGGGCTGGGGATGTGGCTCAGTGTTTAAGCAGTCCTGCGTTCAATCCTTGGTACCTTCAACCCCCCCCAAAAAGACCTATAGGGGATCAATGGACAGAGAAATTCTATAAGATGGCCAAGGAATGAAGAAAGGTCACATTAGAAATGGGCATATGAGGGTCAATAAACACTTTGGAGGTGTAAATGAGAGACAAAGACATTCTACATGGAGAAAATGGTAAGAGCAAAAGAGCAGAAAATGGTGAGGAAATCTTATTCTTGTAAATCCTGTCCAGCAAGACGTGTGGTTTTGCTTTGGATTCTTTTGCTATTCCTGACCATAACAAGGAAGGTAGTTGGGAAAATTAGGAATCGGAGCCTAGGTAGGACTATTAGTGACTAGCAGCCTTGGTTTTTCCTTTTAACAAAATGTATGTGTTTATATCAACAAGCTTTCAAAAAAATACTTATTAAATTGAAATTTAAAAAAATAAAAAATACTTATTGAGATCATTAATGGAGGAGAGCAGCAAGCAAAGTACTTTTATGGGAATGGAGGATCACACAGGGCAGGTGTGTGAGGCAAGGCTGGAGAGGAAAACTGGAATTTTGCTGAACCAGAATTTTAAATGTCCAGCTGAGGAGTGATTACTTTATTTAGCAATCACAGAATATTTGGAAGAAGAAAGGAAAACTAAATTGTCAATAACAAGTTTAATTTGCCTTAAATTTTGCCTGGTTTTCCCTAGTTATATTAAATTCACATTGATCCAAAGAAAAAAATTCTTTAAGAACCTATAACACCTAATTTATTAAGACAGATTAAGTAGTTACAAATTATTTTACCTCTTTACAAAATGCCATATCATCTAAGGTACTGAGTATAGAAAGAGGAATAAAGTTCAATGGGAATTTTTTTTTAAAAAATGCCATACTATCTTAAACCTACTGCCCAAATTCAACTCTTCCAAGTCTAAATTAAAATAAGAGTTGGGCTGGGCCCAGTGACACAAGCCTGTAGTCCCAGAAGCTTGGGAGTCTGAGGCAGGAGGATCATGAGTTCAAAGCCAGCCTCAGCAACTTAGCAAGGCCATAAGCAACCTAGTGAGACCCTGTCTCAAAATAGAAAATAAAAAGGGCTGAGGATGAGGCTCAGTGGTTAGGAACCTCTGGGTTCAATCCCTGGCACCAAAAAAAATAAAATAAAATAAAATAAGAGTTGGGGAATGGAAATGAAGCTCAGCAGTACAGCACATGCTTAGCATGTGAGAGGCCCTGGGTTCCATCCCCAGCATTGCAAATAAATAAATAGATCAATAAGTGGCAAAAAATAACTCTAATATCTTCATCTTTGCTTCAGTGGAACAAGAACAATAAAGAGAAAAAGAAAGAATGTTGGCAGACATTTATTTATTTATTTATTTATTTATTTTTTATTTATTTTGTGGTGCTAGGGGTTTTGTGCATGTGAGGTAATCACTCTACCAACTGAGCTATGTCCCCAGCCCTTTGGCAAACATTTCAAGATGCTCCAGAAAGAATCATGACTTTTTCCTCTGGAGAATACTGTGAAGAAGTTCCTTTATTTAAGTCACAAACTCTATGTGGCACCACGTTGTCTTGCAAACTGACTTCCAAACAAAATCCCCAATTAACAATAACATTAGTCATTGATTACAAGGATTTTCAAACCACCTCTTGAAACCACAGACTTGAAATTCCACTGGCTTGAAAGTCGACTGGTGAACCACCTACCAACATCTACAGTGTTCCATATAGAGTAGGTGCCCCATGAACATTCGCCGAATGAAGTCCATGGCCTGTAGATTTTTGTTTCTACAGAGACAAAATTCTTTCTCATTTTCCCTACCCCCATTCGAATACTTTCTATTTAGAAGAAGTAAAATCTGAGAAACAGGAAGTGTTTTCACCAGGATGACCAAGTTAAGAAATCTTGATTACCCCACAACCTCAAATTGCACTGCCGTTGAGCATGTCCCATGTCCCATGACAGCACATGTTGTAATGGCAGCTTTTAAGCTTCTTGTAGCTTGGGAGTGAAGATCTTAGTGAGGATCTCCCAAGACAGGGGTGAAATGAGCTGCTCTTCAAATTGCAGTGAGGGTCATCTCTGTAACCAGATAGATACTTTATCTAAGTATATAAAAGAATATATATATTTTAAGCAGCAACAAGCAGCATTTGGTTGAGCATGTCCTTCCTTCCACAATTTCCTACCTGCAATGCAATCTTTGCACCTGAAACTTTACAGATTGGGATTAAAATGAGTGAGTACAACCAGATGCATTGGCACATATCTATAATCCCAGGACTCAGGAGGCTGAGGCAGGAGGATTGCAAGTTCAAGGCCAGCCTCAGCAACTTAGCAAGACCAATTTAGTGAGACCTTGTCTCAAAATTTAAAATATAAAGGTCTGAGGATGTGGCTCAGTGGTAAAGCGTCCTTGGGTTCAATAGCTATTGTGATTTCCAACATTAGTTACAACATACTTATTTCAACAACTTCTTCTTCTTCTTCTTCTTCTTCTTCTTCTTCTTCTTCTTCTTCTTCTTCTTCTTCTTCTTCTTCTTCTTCTTCTTCTTCTTCTTTCTCTCTCTCTCTCTCTCTCTCTCTCTCTCTCTCTCTCTTTTTGTACTGGGGATTGCTGCTTCATAGAACTCACCTCAGTAAATCAGCACATCAAATGAGTGAAATGGGAACAAAATTAAGTGGGAGTTTGGGGATTCAAACCCAGATCACTGTGCCCCAGAGCCTATTCACCTTTTTTTTTTTGGTACTGGGGATTGAATTTAGGGGCATTAAAATACTGAGTCACATCCCCAGCCCTATTTTGTATTTTATTTAGAGATAGGATTTCACTGAGTTGCTTAGCGCCTCGCTGTTGCTGAGGCTGGCTTGGAACTCACGATCCTCTTGCCTCAGCTTCCTGAGCCACTGGGATTACAGGCATATGACACTGCACCTGGCTATTCACTTTTTTTTTTTTTTGCCCCCTAAATTTCTTGAAACTGTCCTGTTGCTATATTTCGGTTTTAGAAATGCAAAATATATATGAGTGAACATTCAGAATAACCTAGACTAGAAATGTCAAGGATGTTGTAAATTTAAATTGTTTGCTTGTTTGACACTGGGGATTAAACCCAGGGGCACTTTACCACTGAGCTATATTTCCAGCCCTTCTTCTGATTTTGTGGCAGAACCTTGTTAGGTGATTGAGGCTAGCCTCGAACTTGCCATTCTCTTGCCTCTGTCTCCTGAGTTGTTGTTCTACTGAAGCAGGTCTGATTGACAGTTCTAATCTTAAAATCAGAAAGAAACAGGAAGGTGAGAGGGTTAGGTCTTACCTGTTACCTTATATAATGTGGTGGTGGGGGGTGTGTGTCAGAAGATCTCAGTGTGGCTGTATCTCTAGCCTTGTGGCCTCCACCAGCATGTTCTTTATGCTTTCTGTCTCATAGATGTCTTAGTTGAAAAACAGGTCAAATAATGCAAATGTAAGAACGAACATGGCATTCTAGCTGGGGACATAGCTCCGTGTTAGAGCACGTGTGTGAGTTCAATTCCCTGCACTGAAAAAAATAAAGAAATAATGAATATATTTTAGTAAAAGTATACTAATTGACTAAGCCTGTCAATCAATGAATGGTCAGCCAATAAATATTTAAGTGCCATCTACATGCTAAGCACCGGGGGCACACGGTAATAAAGAGTAAGGACGGTGCTGGGTGCACTGGCACATGCCTGTCATCTCAGCGGCTCAGGAGGCTAAGACAGGAGGATGATGAGTTCAAAGCCAGCCTCATGCATTTAGCGAGGCCTTAGGCAACTTAGCAAGACCTTGTCTCAAAATAAAATATTAAAAGGGGCTGGGGATGTGGCTCAGTGGTTAAGTGCCTTTGGGTTTAATTCCTAGTACCAAAAAAAAAAAAAAAAAAGTAAGGACGATGGGTCACAAGGTTAATGAGCTTACAGTCCTATGGAGCAAATAGTGAATAAACATGTGATTTCAAAAGTATGAATAATGCTATTCAAACAAAGTGGTGTTCTTTATATTTATTATATATTCTACTGCTACCAGGTGCAGACGTTCCTATTGGCTACTTTGCCTGAGTTCTGCAGAAGA